CCACACCCACACCCACACCCACACCCACACCCACACCCACCCACACTCACACCGACACCCACACCCACACCGACACCCACACTCACACCCCACACCCACGCCCACACACCCACACCCTATTCAATCACAGTTTATTTATATACATATCATTTTGATGGCTTCTTTCATTATTTAGACATGTTTAGATTTTATATTCATTGATTATTTCACAAAATCTTCTGTATATACTCTATTCTTTAAGCAATCTGATCATCTGTGCCAAAGCTATCCACATCTCACAATCTCACCTATATCCCACATCTGAATTCACAACTTTCGGATTGATGAAATTCTGCCTTTTGGTATGTTGAATTTATTCTTCATATTGTAAAAGAATAGCTGAATTACACTGAGATTGATCTTTAGTGAATCGAAAAAAGAAAAAGTAATATAATAGGTCAAACTGCTAGTCGAAATCGTCATAAAGCACGTTGAACAGCAGCATGAAATCGTCGCCTATAAACTTTCGGTGTTAATATGAAGATAACAAAGGTTAATGTTGAAGGAACAAACGCCAAAAGATAACCGAAAAGAAAAAGCCATGTATGCTGTCCAGATTTCATGCAAGCATTCATGAAGGCGATAATTAGACGCGGCAACCCTAAGATGACTAGAATGAATGGTGGATAAAGAAGTTGGTTGTGTAGATGACATTGCTGTCGAAGATGTTGTTGAAATGAGTGTTCCGGCTGCGCATGCGAATAAGTGCGTGCTAACAGAACAAGAATGACAATAGCCGAGATAAAATTAATAGAGAAGGGAACGAGAACATGAAACAATATGATAAATGAATTAAATATCTCAAATTGCGGAGAAAATCGTACAAAACACCAGATGCGCTCTTCATCCGCATCAAAATCATCGATCAATTGACGATGAAATGGATCATGCAGATGAGTAATACTAGTGAAGAGAAGTATGCCGAAGATAATGAGTTTTGCTGTGCGTTTTTTCTTGTTTTGATCTAAAGTGACACCAAAACGCAGGGTCCATGTTCGATCGACAGCTATACATGTATTGAGCCATTCACCTGATGCCAAGAAAACTTTTAGTAAGACATCAATAATGTGACAATGACTGCTCAGCAATAATCGATTGGTAATCAATGCCATTTGTGAAAAAATCAATAACCAGCATTTGATCGCTAACATAATAATAGTACACATTGAGAGTGTCGATGACATAATAAGATAGTAACGACAATGAGTTTCTCTTGAATAAGCGGTGCGAAAAATCCAAATTGATAGAAATCCACTGATGAAACCAACTATAGACATTATTGTGATAATGATCGCACTGAACTTGACCACTGATGGTTGACGACTAAATGGTATATACGGTTTAATATGATAGCCAAGAATCGGATCAAGAGTGAGTGTGAAAGCTTTCGTAGAAAATTGACATTTTGTTCCGTAGAAACATTCTGGACATAAGCACATCGACATAGTTGGACATGTTTCATTATTCTGAAAACATTGACCACCATTTTCACAGTCATTGAAGCCTTGACAACTATATGAGTGATCCTGATAGAAATCGAAACAATTGGCAAAGCGATCTAGATCACATATACACATGTAGATTTCGTCATAGAAACACATCAACATCGGATTCTCTCGACAGACATATGGATAGTATTTGATGCGATGAATTGATTCATAGGCAAGAAATGTCGAGTTGAGAACTTCATCAATCATTGCACAACGTTGTTTCGAACCAATCACAGTATGAATGAATTCCGAAGCTATGAAAGTTTGACGAACTACTGCCAAATAGTAATGTTGTTTGGCAAGTTCCACGAAAATAATATGAAATGGTTGAGAAATATATAGTGTGATCATGTGTTGGTCGAAAGTTATTTTTTTAAAAACAGTCGTTCGTTCATGTTTCGATGTATGAAAAGCAGTGATGATATGAATGAGTGCTGTCAAGTCTGTGCCTACTATACTATCTTTCATTTGAATTTTGACATATGAATTCTTGAATTCACATCGTAGTCCTGAATAGTTGGACGTACAAAGACAAGTGGCCTCTTGTAAATCAATGCGATCATCACTTGGTACACAGTGTCCTTGATTTTGGCAAGGATTATTGCTTCGATGACATATCGATCGTTTTAGATAGCATTGAGAACCAAATTTGTTCAGCGGACATACACAGATGGTCGGAGAGAGACATATTGAATCATCCGAGCAATGACACATATGAGTTTGATGACATGTGGAACCTGAATAATCTGGATTACATTGACAGAAGTACTGAGACTTTTGATTGATGTATCGAACGCATCGGCCATGATCTTCACAAGACAATGAACATGAGTCAACTTGTGGTCGATCAGGAATGAATAACTGTGAAACTACTCTATTGACGGGCAAAAATGGAAATGTGATGGGAAGAAACCAACTGGCCCAATAGATCATGGTAGTTAGCTCAAAAATATCAATATGAATTGAATAGATCAGTGCTGTGTTTTTTGGTCGATCTGGATATAATAAATAGATATTGAATTTAGTTCTACAGTCACGAGTAGGAATAAAGGTGATTTGCTCATTGTTGGGTGCAATACGTTTAAATTGATCGACTAGCATAATTATCACTCGAAAAACCATCGGTGTGACAGTAAGACTACGCCATACAAGTTGAAGAGTCAAACTGACACGTTGACTTTGCCACTGACATTGAGTGCCGTAATAACTTGGTGGACAAAGACATTGATGAGTATGATTGGCGCCCGATTTTACAAGAATACCTCGATGACAAAACCAACTATTGTCATGATTGATAGCCGAATCACGAGATACAGACTGATCGCTCCATAATTTATTATTCATCGAGGAATTTGTTGAGATGGATGGAACATATCCCAATCGATATGGATTGAAGAATGGACTACGTGAAGAGCCGTGATTGTTTACAAAAAATGAGCATTGATGTGTCGTGTTCTTACCAAATATAATGGTTTTATATGAATAAGACGAAAGAGCGGACTCTCGCAAACAAGTTTCATTGTGGACTACAATCGATGAATTGTGCCGACGACACAACATGTCATTTGTGATACAAGCTGCTTTCTTCCAGGCGATAGTGTTATTCAAATCCGTACGATTCTCAAAAGTTATCACTCGATGATAAAAAGGGTTAACACATGGATCAAGATAGGTTTCAAAGATGTATTCTAATGGAAGACAATACAATTGATCATTATTGATGGTGTCTTGACACAGATGTTCATTCAATGCACAATGGCTATATGAGCAACCAAGTTCATCGATACCATTCATACAATCCCAATGTTTGTTGCAACGCGCATAGACATTATTGCATGGCCACCATTCACAATGCGTCTCATCAGTTTCTTCTTGACCGACAACTCTATAGTCGATCCAATCATCACACACATAGGCGAATGGAATATGTTTGATTATAGTCAATCCAGTGAAGGCTTGATCATCTTCGCTATCAGGACAGTCGGCAGCTTTATTGCCGAGCGTCACTGGTGATAAACATTTTGTCGAGTTTGATAGGCAAACAAAGCGGTGAGAATCATTGAGATGACAAGCGGAAAAGTTTTCATCTTCACCATAGAAACAATCGGGAAAGCCGTCGGCGACTCGATGAATGGCAATGCATTTCAAAGATTGCTCACAGTGAAAAAATGAAGCATTTACACATGATCGATCGATTCCACGCGTGGTGCAGTAATAATATAATTCGACGAAGACTGTGAATATTTCATTGAAATCATAAATTATCATTTTCTCAAGAAGCTGATCAGCGCGGCAACAGATGATTCCGTCATTGAATCGAAGTTGAACTGTGCAAGAATACAAAGCTGGACATTGTTGTATCCTAAAACAGATCAAATCCGGAGCGATGTTCTGTTGAAATTCGACGACTGATCGATTAGTGAAGTATAGTAATTGAAAAAGACCAAAGAAGATGGGTTGGTGTGGCAAAAATACCCATTCCGTGCGACAATGTACAGCTAATGGCTCGCATGGACCTTCGAATATTCGTTCGATGTTCAATACATCAATATAATCAAATGCAAAGCCTAAACACGAAAAATCAATTCTGTGCTACGTAGTATTGAATATGGAAATCCTCTGTTTAACTCAGCATTCTCTTTAATTAACCTCTCGTCTTTTTTAACTTACCAAAACTACGATTGGCATGCAAGGAACAAAAGAATGCATGTCGGCAGTCATCATCTGGCATAAAATCAAAAGATGTGAGAAGAATACGAGTGAATTCTTTGTCACGCTGATTCTGGCAGTAAGTTCGTGGTGCTGGCATAATATTTCTCAAGATGTATTCTCCATCACCACAAGGAAATGAGCGACCATACCGAGCAGTACGTTCCTCACATTGAAAAGTTGGAATATTGATACAGTTCCAATTAAACGATGGGAATAGTGGTACAACATAAAATTCGGGTTCGTCACTAGCATCGAGACAATCGACACTGACTCGACTATCGCGTAAGAATTCTAATGGAATACATTGACCACCATAGTGACATTGATATTCATCTTCTGCACATTTTGTTATCTCTAAAACTTGACACCACATTTCATCTTCTCCATTAAGACAATCGATTTTCTGATCGCAAATTTCACGCCAATCTAAACATAGTGGCCATGGACCACGATCACAGTTAGGCAACAATGAGTAACATGTACCAGTGGTGATATTAATCATAGTGGGAGAACGATTAGCAAAGTTTGATCGAACAATATCACTAAATGAGAACAAAGTAGTATTATCTAAGTAATATTGACACATTGGACCGAACCACGGAAATGAACAATTGTACAGAACTTCATCGATGTTGCCATGATTTTTTTCATAATGCTCAGCTACATCGATTGGTACTGACCAAGCGAGTAGCTGCTCGCCGGTAATACCTTGCTTAGATAATGTAGCAAAGCTGATGATTTGTGCTGCTTTGTTGTTCAGAGTTACTGAATGTAGATCATCTTTCAGATCAGGTCGTCTGCAGTATGGAATCAAATGAGAGTTGCGAATGTAAGGCTCCTGATTCTGATTCGAATCATCGATCAGATGAGCGTACAAACAATCGAAGTATATATTTGTGGCATGGTTTAATCCATATTGATCTGATTGATACATCGAAAAACGAGTATCAATCAATAAATAAGCAGTGAAAAATATGAGAATTCTTAAAACGTTCATGATTAGAAGAGTGCGCAAATGAAGAGCAATGACTTTTTTTCTTCCACTTTCTTTCTCTCTGTCAATAGAACGCCAACGTCAAATGTATGTTTAGCTCACTAAAGTGCACATTTCTTTTGCTATTCCTGTGATAGCAAGAAACATCTTTTGTTTTTTCTTGATAAAAATCGCTGTGCTTCGTCGCAACTCTTGGAAGCATGATTTAGACCTGGCTTTCATTATCGATGTGATAATAATAAAAAAGGAAAAAAATTCTGCGCAAATCCTGTCTTTATAGTAATGTAGTTCTTTTCTTCCGTATTTATTTCTGTTCATGTAAAAGTCTTTAAAATGAGAGTCATACTGTGCGATAACTTGGATGTGGAGAAGAAATTAATGTGACGTGTCGACGCACAGCAAATACATCATCATGTTGACTATATTTACCTTAAAACAACATGAGTTTATTCTCATCAACACATGTATATTCTATTTACCGTCACTCTTTATGCATTTTCATAGATATGAATGCAGATTTGGTGCAGATCTTTCTATCCATTATTTGCTGCGTGCAGCATCCAACAAGTTATTCTTTTTGACAGTGACTATCAATTACATAAGAAGTAACAAGGAGCCAACGAGCTAGAAGTGAAGAAAAAAAAGATATCAGTATAAAAATGTGTGTAAATTATTGTGTACGTCATGTGCAGAACAATACTTGTCCTTAATTAGATGCTATTTATTGATGTTATTTTATCAGTCGCACATCAAAGTGTCACTAGTGATGCTCTAAACAGAAAGCTATTGAATGGAAATTTTTTTCTCACGCAAAAGAATACTTCATTCGAAGTTATGGGCGAAAAATTATTACATGGCAATCAAGTACAAATCTACTATGGTACTAGATCAATGAATCAACTTATTATTGAGACCTTGAGTTCTTTTATCAAACAAAACCTTGAGTACTTGGAAGTCAGCGGGAAGAGCTGAGATTAGAAATCGATTGCATTCTTGAATTACGATATGCCTTTCATCTACTCGAAAATTCTGATGCAGTAGAATAAGTGATACTATACAATCATCTTCTACTAGAGCTTCTTTGACGACACAACCTTAAGTCTTGAAGAATAGAGAAGATACAAAGTCATGCGAGAATTGTGTAATGTCAGCGGTGGATTAAGAAGCGTTTATGGCTCTATCCATAAATAATTGATCATTGAACATTAGGGTGTGGGTGGGTGTGGGTGTAGGTATGGGGTGTGGATGTGTGGGTGTGTCTCATGAATGCCCACACCCACCCAACCAACACCCACACCCACACTCACACCCACCCACACCCACACCCACAC